TACAGTATCATCAGTTCTCCGTGTTGTGCAGTGACGGAGCGCTGCTTCAAGTTAGCCAGCTGCTAAAACAGCTAGCCTGGAAAGATAACGCTCTCCTGCTCTCCAATGTCTCACAGCTTCCTCAGTTTACTTTCGTTTAAATCAGAGCTGTAATTTACATGAACTCACTTCTTTCTTTCACTTTCGTTGCTCGAGAATGCACTAATACTAAAATATGACTGTCCGAGCGCTGTAACAGCGCTTTAGTTGTGAGGATTGTGATTTAACGCTGCTAAAGCTGTTAGGATGTTAGGAAAGAGGTGAGTTCGCTGTAGGACAGTACAGTTACACCACTGACCTCGTCACTCAGACTCGGTCACAGGAGAACAGATCGCCGGTCGCTCGACTCAGACAGGGAATGTGTAACTCCGTGTTTCAGCCGTTGCTAAAGACTTATCTTACTCGTGGCCCCCTCCCTCTCTAATCATGTCGAAAAACTCGGAAGTGCGCCCTCTCCTGGCGACAGCAGGGTAGTGTCGCTTTCCTTGCAGTAGAAAACGCCACCAAGGCTTTCGCTGAACGTGGGAGTGTGAGAATGGTGTATTATATTGAACATTTATCGAACATGTCGTATCGCTATATCGAGGAAAAGTTATATCACGATAATTATCGTTATCGTTTTATCGCCCAGTCCTATTGTGGGGTCTCTGAGTTTCAACACTGGTTAGTCCTGCAGTGTGGGCCAGGCCTAAGGCTTCTTATTCAGTAACTACTTGGACTACAGTGCAGACTGGCTGAGGTATTCTTAGGTCATCGAAGTGTGTATATTTTGGCTATTTAAGGGGTTGACTGCTGACAGAAGAATCTTGGTATTTTGGTGTTTTTGGTTTGGCATGCTCCAGCCTTTAGGGAAACAGAAGATGTTCTTTTATGGCATCGTTCCAAAGAACTGTTTTGACACCTTTATTTTTAAGAGGGCATGTGATCCGTGGATTAATGATTCATCCAAAAAGACTCTGATTAATCATGGCATGGTCTTGCAACAGCCACTAACCAGACAGCAAGGACTGTGAAGTATTTTAGTCATCCTGTGTGTGTGTGCACTACTCTGACTAACCTGTCTATCATAACAACCAAACATCTAAGTAGTCAATTATATCCTCTCTTGTTTTATCTTTTCTTCTGCATTCATTCAGAACCTTTGCTCACACGACCCGTTCAGAGCCATTTAGTGTGTTATTATGGTAGTAGCTCTTGCTAAAAAAGCTTAGGCCACCATCTGAGACACCTGTGTAAACCCATCATTAGTTAGAGAGAGCTGGATATCCATTATCATTTCTCCCATGCGCTTTATTTCCGACTTTTCTCTTTCATCCGTGCACTCTCTCGGTTGTGGATTGACCCCGTTCTGGCTTCCCTCAGCCCCTCTGATGGGGGAGCTGTTTATGAAGGCCAGCTGAAAAGAGTTAAGCTTCTCTTTTGCTCTCCAACATGCTGATTGAACAGCAGAGCTCACAGCTCTCACATTGTTGTGCTATCAGCACTGAGGAAAAGGCCAAGAAAACTTTAACCTGGCAGCGTGCCACAAAAACAGTGCAGCCCTACTCTCTCTCCCCCTCTATCTCTCTCTCTTATGCTCACTCACTCACTCCCTCTCCCCCAAAGAGATCTGTCTGTCGCTTTCTCTCTCTTTCTTTTTCTCTCTTGCTCTCTCACTTTCTCTCTCTCTCTCTCTCTCTCTCTCTCTCTCTCTCTCTCTCTCTCTCTTTCACTCCTTTTCTGTCTGTCTGTCTCTCTCTCTCTGTCTTGCCATCTCTCTTTCTCTCTTCTTTTGCTCGCTCATTCCTTTTCTCTGAAGAAAGATGTCTCTTGCTCTTTTCCTTTCTTTTTCTCTCTCGCTCTCTGTTCCTCTCCCCTTCTTCCTTGCATGCGCTCTCTCTCACTCCTTCTCTCTCACTGTTTCTCACTGTTTCTTTTTCTCTGTCAGTTTTTTCTTTCCGTTTCTCACTCTTTCTCTCTGTCTGTCTCACTCTGTCTTGCCATATCTTTCTTTTTCTCTTTTTTGCTTGCTTTCTCTTTCTCTCTCTCTCCCTCTCTCACTCGCTCTTTCATTCTCTCTCCCTATCCCCTTCCATTTTTACTTGCTCTCTCTCTCTCTCTCTCTCTTTCTCTTTGTCTCTCCCTCTCTCTCTGTCTCTTTCTTTCTTTCTCTCCCCCCTCTCTCCCTCTCTCTCACTTGCTCTTTAATTCTCTGCCTCTCCCCTTCCATTTTTGCTCTCTCTCTCTCTCTCTCTCTCTCTCTCTCTCTCTCTCTCTCTCCCTCTTTCTCCCTCTCTCTCCCCTTCTTTCTCCTCTAGCCAAAGCTGACAGCTCTCCCTGAGAGACAGGAAGTGGTCCTCACATTTTTCCCCTCATTCAAACAATAATAGGAGAGTACCCTGGGTATTATTTTAGCAGCGGCTAGCTTCTTTATCTGCTCTGAACATAGTTTCCTCTCCGTCTGAGAACCACTTCCTCTCGCTAATGTCATTAGAGAGAGAGAGAGTGGGAGGTTTGTGTGTGTGTGTGTGGTTTGTGTGTGTGTGTTTGAGGGTGAGTGAAGACTGCCTTGTCTTTGGCTCTAACTAGAAATGTAGAGGGAGGGTGGGGGGGGAATAGGGAAGTGCTTTGCTGTAAGTGTGTGTGTGTGTGTGTGTGTGTGTGTGTGTGTGGAGGGGGGTATATTCGTGTGTTCATTTTTCCTGGACTAGAAATCTGTTCAGAGCCTCAGGCTGCCTCATTACTGCTAAATAACCACAAGCCTTCACTCATATGACCGCCAGAGCTGTTAGGGTCCTGATAAGGGCTGACCGCTGACACCGTAAACAGACCTCACTGTAGTTTATTCTCTGAGTTCTGTTGAGGACTACTACGTTTGTACCTGGACTTTATGCTGGACTTGGTCAGAGAGGAGTATTTGAAGATTTTTCTGCTTTTATTTCTTGTGAGCCTGTTCCGTTCCGTTGCATTGCGTTCTGTTCCATTACGTTCCGTGGGCACTCTGGCTTGGTAGAATCAGAGTAAGTAACTGTCATTGGTTTCATTGCCTTTCTTTATCTGTGTGTAGTTTTCTTCAGGAGCTCTCGTGGATGTTGAGAGATCTAGCTTCAGATTCGTATGTTTGTTGCTACGTTTTCATTTTACACTTTACTGAAGGGCAGTGTTCATAAAGCTTCATAACACCTACTTTTCATGACCGCTGACTTTCATCTATAGTGACATTCTGACAATACTTGCTGAGGTGGAATGACTTTAAACTTGGCAAAAGCAGACTTTGACAACTGATTCCTGTCAGAATAAGCCTTTGTAAACATTTACATAGGTTTATGTCATTTGTCATGAAAGTCTTATGTAGGTGTCATGTAGCGTAATGAATGCTACGTGAAGTGCTGCTGACAGTTCGTATGTGGTTTGTTTTCATGTTGCGTATCTGTGTAAGTTTGCTTGTCTGTGGTCTGTGATTGTTTCTATGTGAACTGAGCTTTATTGAAATACAGGCTTATAAACAGAAGCTAGCCGTGTCTTGTGAAGTTTATTTCCTGAACGCTACTTGACTTTGTAAGATACGGTTAGTTAAATCGCTGATTCCATTTTATGCTTGGGACTTTCTTGGGACAACAGACCTCCTCAGCCTCTGTAAGAGGACCTTGGGTAGCATTTTGTTTCTTGTAGCTCCATTTTTGTTGTTTTTTTTTATTATTTTTAACAGAATTTGAAAGTGCCAATGGTCCTTTTTAGGATGTTAAAATGTAAAGCTCAGTGAGACACTAGACATGCTCCAAAATTACTTTGAAACAATCTTCTTATATTCAAAGTTTAGAGAGCTTTTTTCCTTTCTTACTTTCTTTCTCAAGCCATAAGAGATGGCTACGATTAAAAAATGTCTGAGTTAATCCAGTAGAGTGACAGTTTTGGAATTGTTTGCTTTGACACTGAGCTTTTATTATAAGTACTGTAAACAAGAACCTTTTTGGCTTTGCATGTTGTGCCTGCAAAGTGCTATTCTAAGTGTGTTCTTTTCCAAAATTTCCCATTTGGTGAATTTTGTTTCCTGGCCAAGTCTTCCTTGGGGAACACCATTATTATTATTAGCGGAATAATAAGCCATTCAGGACAACCGTTCCCCTGGGAAGCATATCGTCATCCGGAATGTTTGGGAATATTGTCTTTTCTGTCAGTGGGGGTAATGGGATGTACCTGGAGTCTTGGCCTTGTTCCATGAAAACTGTAGATTAATGAAAGGAATTTAAAGATTTTCTGTAGGTTTCTCACAAGGGCTTATAAAAGAATTGCTAATGCTAAGCTAGCTTGTGGTTTGCTGATATGTTTTGGGTTTTTTTTTTCAGATTTCTATCAGTGGTGGATGATGTGCAAGCAAGAACTGTTTTCATTGTTAAACACTAAAAAATAATTTAATGCTTATTCATCAGTATAGGCATTGAAGTGGGTTTTGAAGAATACTGAGTCAGTGTCACTCATCTTAGATGTATAACACGGTGGGATTACTGCATTTTTCCACTTAATGATGGTATACACAACTAGGGGTGGGCAATATGGGGAAGGTATAATATCACAATACTTCAGGACTTTTTCATATAATGCAATATGCTGTATGATATTTGTTTTTTCTGAAGTTTGATAAGAAAAAAAAAGTGGTTGATGCAGAAGAAAGGATGACATCGACAATATACTCAGAAAACCATAGCGTGATATAATGTGACATAATTTATCACAATATTCGTAAATATATTGCCCACCCTGTACACTACCAGCCAGAATCGCACCCTGTGTGTTGTGCAAAATCCAGGTGTCACTGCCGACCTCGTATCAGCTGAGTTCAAGACAACTTGCTCAGTCGTCCATCAGTTCATTTGCTCATTAAGACTAAAGAGCAGCCTGAGTGACAGAAACAGTCATGTACCATCAGTCTCATTTGTTATGGTTTCTGATGATGTATGCATGTGTCTGTTTTCTCCTGGCAGACGTACTGTGCCCCTGATCCGCCCTCACTCCTGGCACCTGGCGAAGGTGTCGGAGCCACCCTCTGTGCCTGGCCCAGCAGGCAGTCCGGACGGCCCCCCGGCCATGCAGCTCCACCCCCCAACCTTCAGTGTACCGTGGCACTCGGGGGGTGAAAACAGGTGGGAAACCATACGCATGCCCTCCTCAGCCCTCACTCACAGCCCTAAAAACCCAAATACCTTTGATATTACTGTAAAATGGAGTCTTTTAACATAGATTGCTGGAGTGTGATTGCTTGTTAATAGATATAGCTGGCCCTGCTTTGTTTGTGTGAGAGAGAATGATACTGCATTTTCGGCCTGGGGGATTTTTTTGTAAAGGAACACAATCAGCAGGAAGCCAGTGATCTCAGGTCTTATGTCAACACATGCCTCGCCGGATGCCACTGCTATTTTTAGACTTTTGATTCATGCATTCTTCAAAGATTGACCAAAAGCAGAATTATGAGAACATTCACAATAAATCTACAATTAAAAAAACACCACAGAAAGTACTATAATCTTAAATCTTAGAGGATTTCTGAATAAACCAATTCAAACCATTCAAACAAACCATATTTAACAAACCATATTACTAGTACATTCCAGGTTTCCACAGTCTTTTTCTTTAAAAAAAAAAAAAAAAACCTTAATGAGGATAGGCACTGTTCCCTGTTCCCTTAGGTGATTGTAGATTTGCATTCTTGCTGATGGTTTGCGCCATAATGCCAAGTGTGTCTGGGCCATTGCATTTTGATATTTATCACTAATCTCATTGTGATTATCTGTAATGAGTGTAAAGGAGTTTATGTAAGACTAGGTCAAAATCATTCTAAATTCCCATACTTCTCTAACTTTGACCTTCTCCAAGTCACTTATGCTGGTGGAACAATTAAAATATATCTGATGTGAAAAAATGCATATGAGGATAGAGATGGTAAATACTTTCACTGGCTGGAATTCATTTCATAGTCACTTTTAGAACATTTGATTTATGTTCCTATTGACTTAAATATTTATTGCTATCCTATTGTGATCTAATATGTTTTTGAAGAAAACTTGCTTTAAAGCAAAGTTACAGCAGCATTGATTGGACCACAGATCAAACAATAATGGGCCACTCTGGGTGCTGTGAATGTTGTCACATATTCTGTGTTGTCTAGTGGTGATAGGATAGGGATAAAGTTGGGAAAGATGTGCGACTTCCCTAGTGAAAACCTAATTTCCTTTTTCCTGGTATTGCCTCTGGTGCAGTAAGAAAAAAGCTATACATGGAAAACAGAAACACTCTATTATATTCCATACACTGTAAATTTGACATTTCAAAAAAATCCAAAATAGTTGATCGTTGATTAATGCACTTTCTGTTGTCTCATGTCATTCTTTCTTGTTTTTTATCACACCCTCTTTTCCCTTCCCTCTCTCCTCTCCCTGACTCCCCGTTGCTCGCTTTTCTCTCCCTTTTTCCTTTCTCTATCTTTCTGTTCCTCTGCAGTGAGCTGTCCATGCAGTTGGGCCACCTCTCCAGGCACTACAGCACAGACCGCAGCAGCTCACTGGGGAGTATGGAAAGTCTGGAGAACCCTTCTAGTCAGGGTTACTACGAAAGCCAACTCTCCCCCATCGATCCTGCAATCTTCAACAATAAACGAGACTCTGCCTATAGCTCCTTCTCTGCCAGCTCAAACACTTCTGACTACACGGTATCTCTGCGGCCTGAGGAGAACAGCTCCATGGACAGCCTTCTTCAGGGCTTGGGCCCCTCCTGCAGGTTTACAGAGAGCCATCCAAACTCCACAGCCAGTGGCCGTGGAGAACTGCATTGTGAGGAGGCAAGCCTTGAGTCTAGGTCTCTGCCTCATAGGCCAGAGGCTAAGGTACGGCCATCATCTTACAGCTGTGAAGAAGAAAAGTGTGGACCTCCCCAGCCTCCCATGAGGAAGGATAGTTTCAGGGCCACCAGAGGCCGACCAGGGGTGACAGACAAACGTTGTGTATCTGCTCCCGTTGGTATTCCAAATATGACATGTTGCATGATTGAGAGCCCACCTCACATTCAGGAGGGACTGAATGGGAGTGGGTGTCTGAATAATGCACAAGAAAATGGCCAGAACTTGAAAGGAAATAGCACAGAACCTTACTACACATTAAGTTCTCAAAGAGAACTATGTTTAGATAGCCAAGATGGATTAACGGAGGAGTTTAAAAAGAGCAGTCACCTCCAGCATCTAAAGAGGCATTCATCTAGGCCCAGTCCTCAACCAACAGAGAGCTCTGATACCCAACTCAACCACTTACACAACAGTCTCCCATCCAGGATGCACAGACATAGCGCCCCTGAAAAATTACTAGCCTCTCAGCTACGGATGATGGAAGTTTCCAGTGACAATAGTGAACATTCCATATCCCCTTCTAGCCAGTGGTCTCATTCTATGCATCCTAGGGTTGACCTGAGAGAAAACAGCCCAGATGTTACAACTCAGGGTAAATGGGAAGGCAGCAGATGCTCCACCCCTGGTTCACTGACTACATCAGAAGTGGAGGAACAAAGAGTGGAGGAAGAACCGTTCGATTCAGGCCAGAGCCTGTCTCCTATCCAGCATTCCTGGGGACGATCTGTCAGTGTTCCAGAAGAACCTTTAAGAAATGGATTCTCTGGGTCGGCATCCTCTATAGACTCCGAACTTCAGGAAAGGGATTTTGGGCCGATTAGTGCTGCAACCAGTATGGACACACTACTGGAAGAGGAGCAAGAAAGAGAGAAAGGAAGGGAAGATGAAGCTGAGGTTTCAAAGCCTCCTCAGAAGCGCCATTTTCGCTCATCTAAGTCTCGCCGTCGGAGTGAGCGGTTTGCCACAAATCTTCGTAATGAGATCCAGAGGAAAAAGGCTCAGTTGCAGAAGAGCAAAGGCCCAGGTGGGATCCTCTGTGGTGGGGATACAGTAGAGGAAGAGGATGGTGCAAACCTTGATATGGAAGGAGAATCCCGATCAGAGTCTGCAGGAATCCATCAACCCAGAGCCCAAACTCAGAGCCCAAACCACATTGGTTACCAGAATACTGCATTTGCTCCATCTCAGCCCAGAAAGACTGCTTCAAACCCAACATTTCAGCAAGATCCAGACAAATTCTGTGGAATAAATCCTGTGGAACATTCAAGAACCAGGACTGAGGAAATAGAAGTTTCACAGCATGAAATTCAGGGCATCTCATCAACCGAGGCAACAAGACCAGATTGTGTGCGTGTGGTCGAAGAGGTGGCACCAGCAGGTAAAGCCCGGCGTTGGCGCTGGACACCAGAAAACAAACTGCAGCCAGAAAAGGAGCCATCCGAGAAGAAAGGTAGTGAAGGAACACTGCAGTCATCTCGGAAGCTTGGAACAACAAGAGGAAGAGTGGGTTCTTCTAGTGGGCGCTCCAGTAAAGCAGAAGATTGTGACATCCCACCATTTGCAGACCGCAGGAAGTTCTTTGAGGAGACTATTCGGAACCTGAGCCAGTCTGTGACTAACTTGTCAAGCCTGACGAGCCGCCGCCAGAGGCCAGAGAAACAGGGGAGGAAAGATGATCCATCTTCTCCTGATCCCCATGAGTCAGTCCCTGACCTTGGGCGCAGGAGGTTCTCTTACCAGGGTGGAGTCCATGATGGAGCGTCCATGAATTCACTTGAGACTAGGAGACAGTTTGTCAGTGCACGGCGAGAGAGGGAGAGAGAGAGAGAGAAGATGGTGGAAAGGGAGAGGGAGAGGAGAGCAAGAGAGACTTAGGGAGCAAGAGAGACTTAGGGAGCAAGAGAGACTTAGGGAGCAAGAGAGGCTTCAAGAACAGGAGAGGATAGAGGCCTGGAAAAAAGAGCAGAACAGGGAACAAGAGAGGGAGAGAGAAAGAGCAAGGAAGGAGACAGAAAGAGAACAGAGTGTGCAACAGATGGAGAGAAAATGGGAGACAGACAGAGATCTCACGTATGCAGGTCATGACCTCAGCAATTCCATAATGCCACCATCGTTGCCTCACGGTGCCTATCTAAAACAGCCACTCCCACCTCAGAATCTAATCTCCACTAGTTCTCATCCAGACAATTCCCACAAGACTAGCCCTGATATTCAAAAGCCATGCTCAGCCTTCAGACCTGTAATGAGCCATCAGCATCAGTCTGACCACTACTGCCGACACCCTGAATACCAGGCCAGGAGCTGCACCCCAACAGAGGTGAGATTTTAGATTAAGAATAAATGATTTCAGGTTTAATAACTTGAATATTTTATATGCTTGTTATATTCTGAAGATATTGTTTTGTAAAACAGATGCAGGTACAGTGCAATTTTTTTTTTTTGCTATTTCATATAATTTACAGTAATAGTTTATACGACGGGGATTTAAATATTACAAACTATTCACCAAAATGTGTTTTTAGATGTTTTGTTCATTTATGTTTATGCATTTGGCAAACACTCTTTTCTAGAGCAACTTACAATTTAAATATGTTACAGAGATAGACAAACGTGGTGTTAGGAGTCCCAGGCGGGAGGTTGAACTCCAGTCTTCCACATAGGGGGCAGCAGTGTTACCTACTAGGCTATATCAAATGTAGTATTTCACGAATTCTGTGAACAAGACATTATTTAGTCAGGAAATAATAATAAAAAACTTTTAATTGGATTTGCACTTTTGAAATATGTTGAATTCTGGATATTAATTTTATTAAAACTTCATTCTTAATTCTAAATAGTTCTCTCAGTCATTTTAGATCTCCAGCATTCTGGACACATCTAAAATATCTTAAATTTTATTTACAGCTTCCAGTTGTCCCACTAATTATTCAAAACTGTGAAGTTGCATAGTACTGACATATTAGAATAATTTTATAAATATGTCTGCAACCAGATTATTATTATTATTATTATTATTATTATTATTATTATTGAAAACAGTGATTCCAGTCTTTTAAACAGTGATCCTGAACCTTTGAATGGTAGTGTGTACTATATTCTGTATATATTCTGATCTTTTGGAAAGTTTGGTCATCCACCTTAAATGCTGCTAAAGGCAGTTCTTGATGGACATATTGCTTGGTTATGACACCATATTGGAATATATGCATATGCATTTCAAGCATGCCGCACACCAGATGTATGTAGAAATCTTTGCAACGTGTAGTCTTGACAGTCTCTCCCCTGCACTTTACAGTCTAGTAATATCCTTGTATATAAGTTTGCAGTTATTGCATAGAAGAAGTCCACAAGTCTGGGTCTGGAAGAAAGTAGACTAGCTGGATTTATGAAGCCCAGTAGGCCTAAAGAAAGTTGCTGGGCTCCTTGAACTGCTGGATCAGGGCCACTTGCTCTAGAACCTCAGCAGCCAGCCAACAATAACCTTGGACAAGACTTATGCTCTGTCTTGGTCCAGCTTGTATTGTAGAGGAACATACTTTAACCGGAGGTTCAAATGTCCGTTGTGTAACTAAATGTTAGAATGTATGGTCTGTTATAAATACATAAATCTAGTATGTCATCTAGGAGGTACATACCAATTCCTTGCAAGCATATAATGTGAAGTCACTGAAGCTATTTTAAAGTGAACCAAATAATGCTGAATTTGAAAGTTTTCGATTAAGATTAAAGTTAAGTTCACTTAGAGTTGGTTTCCCAGACAGAGATTAAGCTTTGTCCAGAACTACACAGCATTCTGAATGGAGTTTCTCCACTGAAAGGAATGTGGAGTCCAGAACTAGGCTAACTCCCTGTCCAGGAAACTGACCCTTTAAAACCGAAGAGGAGCGCAGTGAATAAACCATAATTCTTAAATGCAGTGAAACAGAGCAACATTTTTATCTTGAGAATGTATGTTGAAAAATGACTTGTTCTTGTTAGAAATGCTTCCAATTAACATACTTACTCCCATCAACTAAAATCCCTTGGAGTTAAAGTTGCAGCAATATTCCACATTTGAGTAGTGTTCAGATATCTCAGAAGTCTTTCTGCAGGGTACTACAAAGATAGAAACTGGACATTCATTTCAACTCTACAGAATAGTCCAATCCCCCTTTAATGTTACCAGATGTGCAGGACATACTAAAATGGTGCTTCCTCAGGATCCCATGAGGAAAAGGTTGGCTGTGTCACTGAATGTAAAATATTTCATAAACTGGCTCCAGTCTTACAGGAAGACTGAATATGTATGTTGTTTTATTATTCATTGCTTTCAGTTCATGACCTACATTCTGATCTCATAAAGATAAAATATTATGAAGTTTTTGTTTTCTCTGAACCAGAACATTCTATAGCTCTCAAACTGACCTTCATCCAAATAATCAGTTTTCTGGCTATGAATAATTTTAAGAAAAAAAAACATTCTTAGTTTTATTTTGTGTGGTACAAAACATAAACCATTCAAAATATTTTTCCCACCATGTGTAGGCATGACAGATACAGATACATGACCATAATTTCAAAATTGGAGTTGGATCTACTACTATATTTCAAAAACTTTGTTTGAATTTTGTTGAATGGTAATGTAACTGTAGCAGAAAGTTAAGAACTTTCATCATTACAACAAAGCTTCATATATGGCTATTTTTTGTGCCTCAGGCACCAAGGAAACTATAGCATCCAAACAGTTTTCCTGTTTCAGTTCCTGTTTTGAATCACTTGGCAACTGTCGTCCACAGGCCTATCCTGTGCGGGAGCTGGAGCAAACAAAACTCAACAGGAAGTTCAGCCTGACTGAGAGGTAAGGTCACTTCCCCTATATAGAGGAGTGTTTCACCGAAAAATCAAGTCTACACAGTTCTCCACCTCTTACCTCAAAGGTAGCTGATTGCATGAGACATGTTTGTTTCTTCCTACTTTATTCTTGCACTGGAGCTACAGGCTAATGCAGCTAAAAAGTACTGTAAGTCTATGGGGGTGATTTCACAATTGGGGTGCAATTTGTGTCCTACTGACGTTACATTTACAAACATGCATGTAAAGATAAAAGATGTTTTAAACATGGGTGTCCTTCACAACAATCTATGTGAATGTTTCACATAAATAACTATAACTTTAATTTAATTACTTTAAACATTAATAATACTTCTATAGCACTTAAAAAACAGTTTTTTTATTTTTATAACTTTACCTTGAAAAATAATCACTAAAATTCTTAATGTTATTTTTGCACTAATGTGTGAATCAATTTAACATCTCATACTTGAAACATCCTCTTCCTATGAGTCATTCATTAGAGGTTATGGAAAATGTATATTTTAGTTCCCAAACAATTACTCAACCCTGTTACTTAAACACGTTCACCCCTGTGAAATATCTGGAAGATTCCCCAAGTTACATGTTCACCAGGAAGTTGCAGCTGAACTTCCTGAAGGTCATGGGAACAAAAAGTTTAGCATTCTTTATTTTCAGTGATTTTGTAATATTGACTTGAAAGTAGTAAATCATTACAACACTATTAGCATGGATGCTAGTTGAAGAAATTGAGTGTGTTTGCTAAATCTGTGCAAAAAACTCAGTCCTGTTTCTTTCCATACTGTTACTCATGTAAGCCATTGTCAGCAAAGAAACCTTGTGAAAAATGAGTTCTTGTTCCTGAGATCCTGAGATGGGTTCACACATTTTTTAAATTGTTCAAATAATTCAATAGTTCAAAGAGTTTGAATTAGTTCAAACTGTGGTTTCACAGTTTAAATAAATAAATAACTGTATTCAGATCATCAGATATTTACAAGAATTATGTTATGATCTATTTCAACTCAAACAAAACTGTAATAAGCTCTATTTAAACCATAATAAGCTAAAGCTATATAAAACCATCATTTATAGCCAGGGTGTCCAATCCTGGTCCTGTAGATCTACCACCCTGCAGAATTTAACACATCTCATCTAGTTAATGAAGGCTTTAAGGGGCATCTGAATATTAGGTGTTGGATCTGAACTTTCCAGGGTTGTAGACCTCCAGGACCAGGATTAGCCACCCATGATGTACAGGGTACTTTCTTTTGGGAGGTGGCTGACCCAAACCCTAACCCCTAAATTTACACTTGTGAAAATACTTCATAATATTCAATATTTTTTCTTTTAAATTGAAGTTGAAATATTTAGATTTATCTATCATTTTATTTTTTTAAATAAAAAAAACAAATAAATACAAATACTGGCCCACAAAGAGTTTTAGTTCATAGACAGAGCCTTATTTTAGCCACAGCCCTGCATTTTAGAGCAGGAGGTGAGACTGCATCCCTGTCCCTCATGGCCACATGGTGAACAGTTAGATCCCTCTGTTTTTAAGTAAATGTCTGAAAATCATTGTGTAACATAAAAATGGTCACTGCCATTTTAACATTAATATTAACACATTAACATACACATTAGATGTAATTAAATAAAAAAACTCCACTGCAAAACTAAAGAAGTAAACCTCAGACACCCAACATGTTTTGGCCGCTAAACTATGTTTGAGGAGAAAAGGGGAAAATTTGTGCAAATTTGATTTTCAGTGAATCATGCCTTTGATTTCACTAGTGGGTGGTCTTTCCAAGTTTAACTTTTGTAATTGTTGATATGTTTTGTCATTTTTGATTATGGTGATCAAATTTCAAATTGTACAGTAATTTTCTTTAATTATATGTAGACGTAAGTCGCATTCCAAGAGAGGATATGTGCTGTTTCAAAAATTGCTGCATAAGCTCCAATAGCATGTATGAATCTTATTTTTCTTCTCTGTAGGGACTATGTTCAGAGTAGACGAGACTTCAGGCCAGGAGAGGTTACTGTGTGTCCGGGCTTTCAGGGCCAGTGGAACAGACCACGTGTTCGTCACAGTGATGATCAACCCTTCAAATCATCACTACTTAGAAACCGTGCCATGTCAGAAAATGACCTCCGGGTGGAGACCCTTTGCATTCAAAGCCACATATCAGCTAATGCTAACGCTAGCAGAATCAGAGAACTTGATGAGAACATCACATCTGTTGATGAAGCAAAGAAGAAGAAAGGCCCTCCTCCTCCTCGTCCACCGCCCCCAAAATGGGGTCAGTTCCACAAGAGACGGGCCTCTCATCACAATCTCTTCTCCTCCCCTCCTGCCTCCTCTCCACAGACACAAACGTATTCACCTCGCCCCCCTGTTGTCCCCGAAATGTCACGTCAGCGGTCCTATAGCCTTCCTCCAACGGATGGGGCAGAGAACTGTCAGCACTGCTACCACGAATGCCAAATTGCTCCACCTAGTCCTGCCTTGAATCGCAGAGCTTTCAAACCGGTGGCCCCGCCTCCAAAAGAACAAGACACACCCATGTCTCACCATTATGAAATGAACAGAGTGGTAGACACACCCCCACCCTCGACAGAGTCGAGCACAAGGTAAGGACAGCTAACAGACCACCTGTTCTGATATCATATGTAAAGGATAGGTATTGTGTCTGACCTCATATCTATAATTTCTGATTTCTATGTATTATCTCACTTAGCCTCATTAAACTGTTTTTCAGATTGTCTGACCAAAGCTGGGGTCTTCCTTCAAATCAGTTGAGACCAGCTGTGGTAAAGCCAGTCTTCCATAAGCATAGAGCAGAGTGGGATTTGACTGGCCCTCACAACTCCTCAACAACCAACAGCACTAGTAGGTCATCAGGACCTGCCCCTTCTTCGGAGAATGGCTCTTATCCTGGGGCTGTTCCTCCTGAGTCCTACTTCACAATGAACAACTACCAGCAGCACTTACACAGTCAGACACAAATGGCCTTCCCTGGCACAACCGTGAAGAACCCAGAACATTCTACCCAAACTCCACCTCCAAGCCAGGATCATGCCTTGCCTTTGGAAACAGACATAGATGAGTTCCACGAGAACGAGGGCACAGCAGTGGAGCAGCAGAGGCAAGAGGAAGGACGGATGGAGATGCAGTGCTTTGCCCAACCAGTGACGGTGCTGGAAACCGACATAGACACGCTTACTGACGAGGAGGCTCCTTTGGCAGGGATGAGGAGAGTGCAGAGAGCATCCGTGGTGGACTCATTGTTGGAAAAGGATTGTGGCAGAGCCAGGAAGGAGCTGATGGGAGAGCTCTTCCCTCACTGCACAGAAGCAGGGAGTGGAGGAGAAGGCTGGAGAGGAGGTTACCCAGTTAGTGGAGACACTCTAGAGAGGTAGATCAACTATTTTTCTCTGTTTTATTCTATTTCCAAGACTTGATTAGAACTAATCTCCATGATATCATAATTATTTTTAACTGCTTAACTACTTAATCCCTGCATACTTTTTGTGCTAGGTCCTCTAGACAGGCCTCCTCAGCATCACAAGGCCCAGCCTCCACCACCTACAGTGCAACCAACAACAAAACTCAGCTCCTTTATAAGATGAGGGACTTCTCAGAGATAAAGGAGGAGGATAAAGAGCTTAACTACAAGGTTTGGTCTAATTAGATTTCTTTAAGTCAGTGGTGTAGTCTAGTTTGAAGTAGAAGGTATTCTGTGATTCGCTGACCCAATCACAGTTAGCAAGACTAGCCTAGCTAACGCGTAAATGAAATGCTTAGCTAGCTATATAACTAGGCTACTTGCAGTCCATTAAAATGATCTCTTATGTATGATTGCAACTAGTGACTATACCCAAATCTAGTGCTTTTCTAGGGCTTATACAGTATATATCTGCCCCAAGTAGTAGCTTACCTGTGTTTTCAGTAAGGGTCTTCCACTGACTTTGAAAGATTTGAAATTTATGTTTCATTTTTCTATATGTTGGTGTTTGCAGAGGCAGTTAATGGAGAGCCTGCGTAAGAAGTTAGGTGTGTTACGGGAAGCCCAGAGAGGCCTGCAGGAGGACATCAGGGCCAACGCTCAGCTGGGAGAGGAGGTAGAAAGTCTGGTGCTGGCTGTCTGCAAGCCTAATGAGGTGGACAAGTTCCGCATGTTCATTGGTGACCTAGACAAGGTGACGAGTTTGCTACTGTCCCTTTCTGGCCGGCTGCTGAGAGTGGAGAGTGCCCTGGACTGCCTTGACCCAGAGTCAGGTCACACTGAGAGGGTGAGGAAAGGGGTGGCACTGTGGGGCACAAGTATACTGTTGTGATATGTTTTGTTATATTTCATCATATGGGGTGGAAAATTGGGATTATAGTTTTCTAGTGTCTAGTGCTACTTTCTTCTAGTCTCCTCTAGTTTCTTTCTGTTGTCAGTCAACCACTTCATTAGCTTTTTTTCATTAATCTGTCTGCACAGCACTTCTGTACTGATTCGATTCAGCATTTGATGCTGAAAAACATGGGTGTTACCCAGGAATATAGTGACTGGCCTACTATTAGGTTATTTTTAAAACTTTAAATTTCTTAAAATACTCAGTATTTCCTAAGGAGCGTAATTTTATAATGCATACAGCCTTAAATTCTACAGTTTAGTTAGGAGTAATGCAAATACTTCTAAAAGACTTTAAGGGGGAAAGATGTTAAAAGACCTTATGCATAGATATTTTTATTCATTCTGCATTTACCCTTTCAAAAGTATATGTATTGGTATCAGGATACTAGCACTGGCGTTGCTGGGTATGGATTGAAAAATTAAAAAACAAAACAAAACAAGACACACAGTGGCATTACCTGTCCCTGTTTACCTGATACCAACAGTCCCAACTTTTTTATAAGGGTTGTTTTTGGTTTCTCTGTGGTCCTCTAGCTCCCCCTGCTGGAGAAGAAGAAGCAGCTCCTGGCACAGCTGGCTGAGGCTCAGGAGTTGAAGGAACATGTGGACCGTCGAGAGCAGGCTGTGGGCAGGGTGCTGGGCCGCTGCCTGACCCCCGAACAGCTGCGTGACTACAGCCATTTTGTGAAGATGAAGGCGGCGCTGCTGGTGGAGCAGCGGCAGCTGGACGACAAGATCCGGCTGGGAGAGGAACACCTCCGTGGCTTGAGGGAGAGCCTGGGCCTGGGAGTGGGAATTGGCCTGGGATATGGGCATTAGAGCAACTGGAAGACGAGGGGAGGATATGTGTGCGCGCAGGCACGAGTGGCCGAGCATGATCGTTTCTGCGTGACCTAGTGAACACATAAGAGTATCTGAGAAAGACCATTATGTTGGGGAGTGGACCATGCATTGGATGTTGTAAAGAGCCTGCAATGCCTAGACTTGATGCTAAAATACTACAGAAACTCTTCAGTTGGTAGTTTAATGCTTTGTGCCTACATTTACCCATTCAGCAACATTTTCACTACAGCACTACTTGAAATTGTGCATTGAGAATTCACACTAGGCTAAAAATAACCTCAGAACATTACATCTAAGCCACATTACAGCTGTATGTGTGCCTCTCATCCATCTCAACAGAGGGATTCTCCATGCACTGCTATTTATTTATTTATATCTCAGCGAATATGAAGAAAGAATTCAGCGTGCTGTATTGGTTTCTCTTTACGAGGTGACTGGGGTGGGCTCCATCACCCGAAAAAGCAGACAGACACCTCTCCTATCAGCAAACTCAACACTAATACATAATCTTGCATCATTGCAGAATAGACATGCTACTTATTATCTGTTGGAGTTAAAGGTCTTTGATAGAGAAAGAATTGTATATCAGGGATAGAGTTACAGAATTACACGGTCTTCGTGACATCCATCTTTTACCTTTAATCCATTCAGCCAGGTTCAGAGAACATTTGCATTCGTTATTCTTTAAGTATTTATCTGGCAACGTATCTTGTCTATTGCAGAGCATAACACAAAAACATGCTTTTAGCTTTTCATTATAAAGTGCTTCACTGTATTTTCCATAACTCATTTCAGGCATTTTTTGCTGTTGCCAAAGATTTATTCAATGAACACAAGAACAAAAATATGGTGCTTATTCTTTTGAATCACATGCAGTCAGTTAGCCTGTCCAGATCTTGTTTCAGCTGTGTTTTGTTCATTTTAACTATTACATGTAGTTAAGTGAGTACTGGGGTCTCCTGCTTTCTGTTGTGTAATATTCTACACCACTTCAGACTGCAACTTCTGGGCAAACTGCTTCTTAATATCCTTCTCTTGTGGAGAAAGACTGGAGTTTTCTTCAGAGGAAAGGGGAATGCTGCTTTATTGAACATTTAATACCTTGAAAACCTTTGTTAAAAGAAATGTTAAAGAAATTTGTTATTTCTGTTTTTTATGTTTTTTTTGAGATTGAGTTCAGGATTTTTTGAAGGGCTTTCACAACTGACTTCTTTCTCACTGTGCCAAAAGAATGAAGGTGGAGTTGTTACAGCAAGAAACTGTCAAATATGCCCTGGAATATGTCCCGGAATATGTCCCTGTATATACAGCCTACTTTGTACTCTTTTTGTTGTATTATACTTTCGTAAATAACTCCAGACTGAAAATATAAGAAAATATTTGGTTGAGTAATGGTTTCCCCACTTTTTTTTTGCTATATTAAAAAGTCCAGTGTGGAATATGTACAATTGATGATAAAATATTAATATTTTAAGCTGTGTGTCTTGCTTCATTTATTATAAACCAAACACAGCACTGTGCAGAAGTCAGAGACCCCTTTATTTATTACAGTTCCAGTTGGCCATTAAGTACAAGTTTTCAGAATTAGGAAAAAAGGCTTATGTTTAACAGAAAAATACACAGAAGCCTCAAAAGCTCCATATAATTCCATTTTTTTCCATTTCTCGTGTGTCTATTATTTTCAAGAGACTTGTTTTCAGTTTTTCTAAGAAATCTGCAGGGATATTTTTCCATACTACAAAGTTCAGTCTTATATGTTGGGTGTATTTTTGGCTTCTCACAATCCAACTAATAACTAATTATAATTAAGACTCCAGTCCATAAAACACATCCGTTCAGACTCATAGTGCTGAGTTGTCTTCTCACAGTGAAAAAATGGACAGAAAGACCTGTGGATTTTTTCAGATCTGATGCAAAAGTGGAGCGTGATTTTCTCCTCTTTCAAAGATGAAAGCTTTAAGGATTGTTTATCTGATGGTGACAGTTTGGTGGGATACCAGATCCTGCATGTTTGTTAAAGAGATTTCTCTATTATTTATTTTTTGGACTCCAGTTTTGAAACCCCTGTTTTTCACTTTTTTGCCTTGACCTTTTACTTCCATATGCATGTGAATGGAAGGATATTGTGGTGGAGACTTCTGTGTAATGCTTACTTGTTTCCTGCTTTTTTTTAGACTGAAAAACGAAAAAATTTCTATAGCTGCTTTGACTTGTCCCTGACCTTCGCACAGTACTGTGTTCTCGTTTCACAATCATTACAAGAATTGCATCTGTACAAATATAAGTTGTAGAATTCAGTAATACAGGCTATGCCATATTATATATCGATCTCATTCTGTACTCCCTATCAGGATGGCTCAATGGCTAAATTACCTATTTAACCTGTATAAACAAAAAAAGGAACATGACTGAATTACTAAGCTTCCCCCCAGATTTTCCAGTTATACACCATTTCCAATTTTTCCATTTCCGTTTTTTTTTTTAGCTTGTATTATGTTTTTAAAGAACATTACCTTTCGCTCTAGAAATTGAAACATTTTGGTTAACTTTACAAATGCATGAGACATAAGGTGAAAATCCCTTTAATAAAACTCATGAAATTCAGTGTAACAAAGGAAAAACACTAACTAAAAGCAAGTTGATAACATTTACAACCACAAAGAAAACAAAAACTGTACAACCCTAATGTTGGATTCACTGCTCATTTTCCTTTACTCAGATTTTTGTTTAATTCATTAGTTTTAATAAGGGGAAATTTTTGTGACAAAAACGGTTCACTGTATGTGTTTGTAATACCGCAGAGTAACCATCGCACACGGATGTATGAATAATAATCTTGGCTGGTTCTTGGGTGTATTCTCCTCCACCGCTGTGCCAGAATGAGGACCGTTATTTGTACAGGATGTCGTAGTGGCCTGGTCGATAGAGGAGGAAGATGCGTGGTTCGCTGCCCTCTGGAAAGACGTGGTGGTTAACCGTGCCTCCCTCTCCTCGGTCCATGTACTCCACCAGTATAGACACATTTAATGCCTGTGCTAAGGCAATGATGTGGATGTGGTCACTCTCTTTGGACATTGGCTCCACCTCCTACAAAGCAGAACACGGACATTTAGGCATTAGTTTTTCAGCTAGTTTTAACACTCAGCTTCTCATGCTTTGGATAAATTCTCAAATATTATATTTCTAGGCTTCTGCTGAGTTTTTGTCCTTAAAGCGAGAGTTCAGCATTATTAAATATATACATTTTCCCCCTTACCCCATAAGTCATGTTTGGCATACAAAATTTGCCTCTTTATACTGCTTTTACACAAGAAGTGACAGGGCACGCCTACACTGCTCCACCATGCTTGCTATTTCACACCATATGTGATTCACAATGAACTGAAGAGCATTTTCTGTCCACATTTGTCCTTTCCAGTAATGTAATGAATAAGTTACTACAACCTGCAGACGTCTTTATTCCATTCACAAATGAAATGCATTTTATGTAGACAACATTTGAGCGTAGCTGTTAGCTATTAACCGTAGCTATTAACTATAGAGGATGTGTATACTTGTTTTCAGAAAATCAACAAAACATGTAATTTGACCAATTTGAACAGTCACTTTTGCACGTGACTGGCTGTTTCATTATGGGCCCAGACTGCATAATATAGCAAGAAGTTTTATAATGTTTCTAACTAGAAACCACCAACATACCACATGTGGCAACCATCCAAAACAGACACAAAGCATATTTCTGAGATACGCGTTCTGCCACAGTGCCGCATGATGCACATGGCTGGTGTGGAAGGCTACATTAATTAACACAGGCGCATCAGTGTCTGGTGTAAAGTGAGCTTTATATTTGCACTGTGAGGTTAGTGTAGTTAACAAGTAATGGAAGCTTATAAGGTATAACCATCAATTAGCACAGTGCAAACCGCTTGTCTCAAAAGGTGTCAGCTGTTAACTAATCTCAAGCAGATTCGTTTTATTTCTGACACTGTATGACATACAGTTACCTACAAGAAATTTAGAAAACAGGGACAATATTGTACATTTTTTTGGCCAATCACTTCAAATCCTCAAAAGTCTCTTCTTACCTGCTGGCAGAATTCTTTGACGGATCGTCCTCCCTCTATGAAGTGTTGAAAAAAGGTGTGCTCTCTCTGCAGGTAGCCTGAAGTAAGCAGCCTCAGATATACCACCACATAATCAGACACACTCTGGTCATTAAAGGAGCTCAGCAGCTCCCCGAGAGCTGGCTGCTTTTCACACAGCTCAATCAGGTCCATGAACTAATGAAGAAAGAGCACAACAATACGCATGAACAGTACTGACAACTAACAAACACACATTTACGGAATTAAAAATGTTTGTTTAAACACAACAGCAGGAACTCGTCTTATCGTTCCAACTCACTGTGTTATGAAAGTCTTCAATAGTGAACTCGGTGAAGCCCTGGTTCACAAGGTCCAGTTTGCTTTTTGCTGCCACTGCTTTAAACCTACACCCAGGGGAAATCAGTAACACACAGACAACTTCACTACAACACTGCAACAACTTCACTAATATGGGAAGTAACCAAACTACCTAAATCTTTCCAGCCAGGTGCTGAATAATATTTGAAAGACATCAACTTCTTATTTTGACTTGAGTTAATATACATAAGCAAAGTTATCATCAAAATTAACTTAGCCCTGAAAAAACTCTGACACCTCATCTAATTTTTTCTCACTGATACTGTTAATTTTCAGTTCCTTTCAAGTCCATCTTCTTAGGTCATGTCCCTGGTCATCTTAAGCACCGATTCGTCATACAATTTAAAAGGCAAATTTCATATTTTTCCCATCATCTTTGATTAAAGCATAATGACATTTTCCTGCCTTTAAAATGTCTTGTAAATTCTGATTATGTCGCTGTGCACCAGTAGACGGGGAAAAAGGATATTAACCAATAATACCATGTTTCACCTCCCCCTCCAACCATCCCCATCTTTCATCAAGCAAAACAAATTCTGCTACCTCAGAGACCCTCCCTTATACCACATTTCACATTGAAATACATCACACTACAGAAGGACGTGCAGAATGATTCACGTGGACTTAAAACAGCAATTGGCTAATACTCTGGGTACATTTTACAACACTCAGCTTCATATTCATCAGTGTTTTCCTTGGTATGAAGACTAAATTGTGCTTAAACAATGATTTGACAATTTTCTTGTCCAAACTATTATTAAAAGCACATAATGAAACTCTTTCGGGCCAAAGGTGGTTTAAACAGCTGAACGGTTTGAGTGCTGATGAGTGCTGACATCACAACAAGAGGATAAAATGCAGTGTGTAGTAGTGTGTCATTATTCCCATGGTAGTTCTGTCCACAAACATTAATGTGAAATATTGTTTTGCTTGTAATAAATCTGGCTAGTCCTTGGTATGTTAAGTTAGTGCAAACCAAAGAAAGAAAGCATGCTCATTTGTAAGACATTCTGAAAAGCTAGGAGTCCCCAAACCTTTTACACAGAGTGTACATTTCCTGCTATTGCCCAGTCCAGTTCACATCATTAGCCAGAAAGATGGCAAAAAAAGTGATGAGACACTGTATTAAACTACCAAACAAAACCCAGGCTTTACTTTTGTAGCTCTTTGCTGTCGTCCAGTAGTGACTCCAAATGTGAGAAGCCGAAAGCTCTGTAGAAACAGTTTCCATCAGGTCGCGTCTTCCGAATGTATGAATATTTTTTGTGAAGGTCCTGCAGAAAGTACATCAGTTAAACAAAAGTAATGATTATGTTAATCCTTAATTTTTTATTAGCTACTTAAAGATTTGATGAACTCAAGTAAAGCAATGAAATACATTTAAAACATTTTTTAAAAAGGTATAAATGTATCTCTGCTCAAAAGATCTTAACCTTAATCTTGAGTTGATAGATGGTGTCTTCTTCTGCATACTCTTTCTGTAGCACAGACAGATCCTGTCTGTCTGACACTAAAGGGTTGCTGGTGGCTATCTGTTCAAACAAAGACAGCAAATATACGTTTCTATACAACAGCGTACATGCTCATAATTAACGCAAGGGGAAAAGGGTAAATATTAGAATCTATTCACACATTCAGCATACAATATTCACTCAACAGTTGTGTGTCAGTAGAACCACAGATACCATCATAACTCTGAAAGAGCTACACTTTCTTGTGGCTAAAACACACTCAACACCACAATCCACAAATCTTCACCTGTGGTATGTGTAAATGCAAAAGCCAAAATTGAATATTGAACCATCATAACTTACTTCCTGCTGAATTCGGTCTTGCTGTGCCATGATGGCTTCGTCATAGGCAAGGCAATTCACGCCTACAAAAAAAAATAAAAAAATTAGACATCTCGGTGAACATTATAATGACCATAATCTGAGTCACTTGGGGAAAAAAAAAATTCTGTAGCAAAGACAAAAAACGTCTGGAAAAAAACTGATGTACTGATGTATTTCAGCAACACATATGAATATGAATCAGTATGGCCTCTGTAGCAGTCCCATGCTGCAGTTTATCCAATCCGATGAATTTACGAAAAAACGACTATGACCAAAGGCAACGCATTAGAACAAAGACTAGAGCTAGATATCAGGTCAGAAAGCCAATAACTTTACATATCTTCAAGAATTGTAAATTTTATTTACTATTTCTGGTCTGAGAAGTAAAGCCACAACAAGAATTATTAAAATAAAAAACAAAATAGCAAAAAAATCTGTTCTGATGATGACAATAAACCCAGACCTTAACATGAAAGGTCCACAAGAGTGATTGTCCATTCCCTGACCCCACAAGCACACAAAATTGTCATTAAAAATAGCCTTTATTGTTTATTTTAATTATTTATTTTACTTCACTTTTTTAAACAAACAACAGCCAATTGCCGTTCAATTTTACAATGCTCATTATCAAAGTATGTTAAAAATAGAACCATCTATGAAAATATATTTTATGTGTGTTTTATTTTTATGTGCTTTATTTTATTAGTAGTCACCATTTACTTTCGTCCGTTTATCCAGATTTTTCTTAGTAAGAAATCGGATGCAACTGGACCATTGCAACCATTGCAAGTTTGGATCAGAGACCCTCCATAACACCATGTTTCCCTTGGAAACACATCACAATTTAAAAGGAAAACGAGTAATGATTTTTAATTCATGCTGACAGCCAATAAATGAGCTGCTTTCTCAAAATGAAGAGTGTAAAGGATAGACACAGCATTGATATTACTCAAACTGCACCAATGCACATATGCTATATGTCCAAAACTTTGTAAACATTTGTTGAAATTTGCAGAAATTTCTCATCCAACGTCTCTTCTGAAATCAACAGGGAGCTTAATAGGGTATTAATAGAGAGTCTGTCCCCCTTTGCTGCAGTAACAGCCTCTACTTTTCTAGAAAGGCTTTACACTAGATGCTGGAACATTGCTGCGAGGATTTGACTGCATTCAGTCACAAGAGCATTGGTGAGGTCAGGTTCTGATGTTGGATGATTAGTTCTGGATCACAAACACCCCTCCAACCCAGCCCAAAGATATTGGATATTGGAGTTCCATTACCTCAGCGAATGCATTTCCACTACTCCACAGTCCAGTGCTGGGGGGCTTTATATCCCTCCAAAATAGTCCCAGAAGTGTTTTTCCAGATTGACCACTATTTTGCTATTATCAACATTACATATAAAAACTCAGGAGAGACGTACAGGATCACTGGTGGTTTTGGATAGTAAATAAAATGGGTATATCTGTGTTGTAGACAACCCCTGGTTCCCATCACCACCAGAAATCCAAGTCTTAAAGTTTCTCAACAATTAACCATTTCACATCAAACCACTCTAGATGATATTGTTTAAATGAAGCAGAATTTATAAAATGGTCAAATTTCCCTTTAAGTCTTGAATACTTGAACTGATCGTGTCTGAGCTATGGCTGTATTGTCCATTTTTGGTCATTTCGTCCTCTTTTCCTGACTAAAATGGCTCTAAAGTAATGACTGCCAAGGTTTCTTTAGTGACATAACTGGGGAAAAGCTCCAGCTATTAGCTAACTACATAAGTTTACTCGAGTCAGCAAAGAGGAAGCCTAGCAAACCACAACACAAGCTCACCGGCAGTTCGAAAAATGGTTTATAAATGAAAAAATGTGAAATAGATGTCGTCGGCCTCCAAGCTGGGATTTACAATCACATGAAGGCATCGCTGCGCTGTCTGTGTGTCTGAGGCAGCAGAGCGGCCGCTGCTTTATTTACACTGAGGTTTCTGAGGCGCCTGACAGCCGAGACGAGCCGGGTCAGTGTGAAAAACTCAGCTGAGAACATCACTGACTGACATACTGAAATCTTCCCTACATCTCAGCGTCTCTATCTGCTTTCTCTGTGTGCAGGCTGAGGAGCTGTGGCCTCCCTCCTTCCTCTCTTTCTTTCTTCCTCCTGATGTTGCAGCTCGGCCCAGACAGACACAGAGGCAGGGTTTTTTTTCTGAAGCAGGTCTCGAAGTAGAAAAGAAACAGAGCTGGAAACACGGGACCTACAGCACGTACGTGCAGCACCGTGTCAAGGGAAAATGTTTCGTTTTTAACACACACCGCTGCGCTCACTCACCCTCCATCTCTCCCTGGGATGTTTCCTGCTGCTCGTCCGCCATCTTGGACTGGGGTTGTGTTTCCCCCTCCCTCCGTGAACCTTTCAGCACTGCCGGGTCAGCTCCGCACTGCAGCGCTCCGCACTGCAGTCTGAAGGGTTCTGTCCTTCTAGATCAGCTCGGTTCTCCAGACCTTTAAAAATGCTGAGAATACTCAGGCTGTCGCTGTCTTTGAGGGGTTTTCGCAAGGGGGCAGCGCGGCGCTGGCATCATACTAGTCTGACAAGTTAGTTGAGAGTTCTGTTTCCTCGTTTCATACATGTGGTGGTAATGTGACCTAGAGAACATAAGGTGATTCGTACGGATTAATTTTAATAAGACGTGGCCACGAATTAATAATAATATATTGAGGTCACAAATTAACATTGTCGTGGCCTCAATATTAATTTTTGGCCACGAGAAATTAACTTGTGGCCTCGATATATTAATTCGTGGCCACGCGTTTACGAAAAAGTAATCACCACGTTACCTTGGGGGCATCTTAGATTCTAAGTCCAGCCCTGATTCTTCACTTCTTGACCTTGATTGAAAGATTGCTGATCTGTTGTACGTTTCCCTCACAGGATCTTCAGTAGTGTTCAAAAGTTTGGGATCACCAATCATATTAATAACAGTAGTGTTGTTTTATTCAGCAACAACTAATACAGCATTGATTGAAATACTGTAATCTAGACACCATTTCAAGATGTTTCATTCAGTATAGAAAGTTTCTGGGAACACCATAAAATCATTAAATGATAGATAATGTAGTTCTTTATTTATAGTTATTTCTAGATGTTATCTGCATGAGATTTGTTTTGAGTTCTGGATGGTAATTTTATTATAACTTCATTTTCAGTGGTTTACATCTCTCTCAGTCCTTAAAGAGTCATCTAAAGCTGGACTTTATTCTTGAACATTTCTAGTTGAAAATTAGCTGAAAAGTATCAGCATCATAATAAAACCACTGCATACATTTATTTGGTCCCAAACCTTTGGACATGAGTGTAAATTGATACTAGAGGAAACTAGGATTTCAACAGTGCTGTGTAATACTTTTATAATAATCTGTAATGTTTTCTCCTGTAATATTCCTGTAATATTGTTTTATAGTAGAACTCGTGTAGCATCCTGTTAACTACAGTAATTGTCTGAATTTGCTATACAATTTGTAGATGTAGTATTAGATCTTTTCCATAGGGGATAGTGGGACTTAGACTGCCAAGACAGCAGTAATCAGACTTTTTTTTTATATACAATTGCATTAGAACCTATTCTGGATTATCAACTGTGAACATAAAGCCAAACTTATGAAAAATGTACCGTGTGTTGTTTTTCATAGGCTTTGGCATATTTTGTACATCCAAAGGCAACTTGGTGTGTAAATTTCAAATATGGATGGAATTATAATATTGACCGACATTAGACATCTCAGGTGATATCACATAAATACATTAATTCAATGAGGGTGACAATTTTTATTTATTTATTTTTTTTACAAGAGGGATGGCACCCCCTTACATCCCTGCTCAAATTTAACTGTGAGTTACGTTAGTACAGTGGTTCCCACTGGTCCTGGAGTAGCCCCTGTCCTGCACATTCTGGTGTTTTCCTTGACTCCAGCACACTTGTTAAAACCAATTAGCTAACCAACAAGCCCTATGTTAGTTTCTAGAACAGGGTTTACACCAAAACGTGCATGGCAGGGTGTAGTCCAAGACCACGGTTGTGAATCTATGCAGTGTTGGAAGCATGCCCATTAAGTAAATATATCTTGTGTATCCACAGATGACCTCATTGAAAACATGGACAAGAAAGCCACATGGGACAGATTTTACACAGAAAATAGCAAGGGAACATTCAAGAATTTTGAGTGGTTCTTTGGCTTTCATGCAATCAAAGACTGCATCCTGCCTCTGCTGCAGACTGCGTCCACTACTGATGCACCATTACATGTTCTGGATATTGGTTGTGGGACATCAGCACTGGGACCCTGTATCTATAGACACTCAGAATGTGCTGTGAAGATCACATGTGCTGATATCTCCCCAGTGGCAGTGCGACTGATGCAGGAGCATGCACAAAACATGCCAGTACAACCCTGCAACCCATCCTCCATCCTGGTGTTCCAAGAATTGGACTGCACAGAACTAGAAAGACACTTTGGGCCAAAGAGCCTGGCTTTAATAGTGGACAAAGGGACGACAGATGCATTGGTGAGGTCTAAGAAAGGGCAAGAGAAGGCTGGTCAGATCATAAGGCAATGTCTGAAGGTGCTGAGACCCTCAGGGAACCTACTGCAGTTCTCAGATGAGGATCCTGATGCCAGGCTCCTTTGGTTGGAGAAAGAGAGTCGAGGCTCAGAGGTGGCAGCTGAAGTAGGAGTAAATGAAATTGGAGAGATCAGAGGGGTCACTTATTTCTGTTATCAGATATCCCCTCGTATACCCCAACTCTGACACTGAATATTCCTGTATGTCACTTCAGCTACCACATTTTTTTGTCTTATCATTTTGGTTTCTTTCATTAAACATTTTTGCAAATTATATACCTGTAGAAGAGTGTCAATGTTTTGAGGCCATTGCTTAAACATCTGTAGATGGATTACAGGTGGACTGCCATGATTGTACAGATAAGACTTTATTGTAATTTGCATAAGTGCCATGATTAAAAAACACAACAAGAAAAAAGCCCTGAGGCCAAAGCCAAGCTAACTCAATACAATACTGTAGCAAGCACCAAAAGAGCCAGTATTGTATTCACAGAGGCAGGACACTGGTTGGGAGTGGCATGGCATCTTAAAAAAAATACATGGAACATCAAGAAATTGTAGACAGTGCAAATGAACTATGGTGTCCACTTAAAATAACACCAATAAAAGCCTGGTTTGATTAAGAACTATAGTCCACACAAAACAGGAAAACAACTTTTAAAAAGGCAAATAAAGCACATTTTGGGATACCACAGTGCCACACATTAGAAAAAGAAAAAAATTGTTATGGTCCTTGACGGCTTACTTCAAACAAAAGAACAAAAGATTTGCACGCACTGTTGCATCCTGCAAACATTTATAACTAGTAAAATCCTGAGGGTTTTTGTGGGAGACATCAAACCCACCATGTTTCACCCCTAAACAAATTAGATGTCTGTTTTTAGTATTTGCAGGGACGGTTTGGTTTCTGGCGAGTGTACGGGTTGTACTGACGCTTTGTGTGCTTCTGCTTCATCACAAAGTTGTTTGCTGTACAGGAGGGGGCAGCAGAAACAGGTTTTCCACTAGAAGAAGGCAAGGTGCTGTAGTTGCCACCTTGAACCCAAAAAAGATAAAAGGTATGTTAATATGACAAACCTAGGGAATGTAACACATTACCATAAACATCCTTGAAGTCAGTTAAAATATAATACAAGGTTAGTGATGGTAGATGCTATAAATATTCCACTTACCGTTGTGAGCGGTGTTGTTTTGCTCAACGTTCCCAAAGCTGAAGTACCCAGCACCAAACTGCGGGAGTGTAGTTATTCCATCTTCATAGAAATCAGGCCCATAGCCATCATACTTCTGTCCTTGTTGCCAGACTGGCCCTGAGAAAATACATTAAAGAAGTTGTTTGTAAACACTTATGTAGCCCCTTTATTAATTTTTAATGAAGCGAGGCCCCAAATTTAAAAATTGAGGCCACGAGTTAAGTTTCTTGCTCCCACAAATTAATATATTGTGGTTGAGCTTGTGGCCTTGATATATTAAATTGTGGCTACACATTATGAGAAAAAAAAAAAACACCACCATGTCACCTTAAGGCACATGTGTCAAGCTCCAGTCCTTGTGGGGGCAAAAATACCTCAGACTTCAGCATAGTGCCTCATTAAATAAACCAAATTCAGCTATTATCTAAATAACAAGGCCTTCACGAACTAAATTCAGAGTGTTAGATGAGGGTTAGTGCTGATCTCCACAGCACTTTGGCCCAGAAGGTCCCCAGGCTGACATGCCTGCCTTAAGGGCTCCATAAATACTAGTTTTTAAAAAACCTTTTAAAAACTGAAGCTTATTCAAATTTTGGCTTAATCGTTGTAAAATCTGGTTAACAATTTTTATACAGAATTAATTTAACATTTTTACATCATTATTGATTATGTTTAGTTGATTGCAACCTGTGTAGCTGAAGGCACTGAACGCCATGTAAAGGTTACTATACCCCCTGCCATCATATGGCCCTGCTTTAAAAAAAAGGCAAACATTATTCAAGAAGCACCTCTGACAAACTCCTTGCACCAGCAAAATATCATAAGTCTTGTTTATCTGCAACCACTCAACTTTTTCAGACGTCCCACTGGTACTCTGTAGGTTTTGCTAGAACCTGAACTTGTCCAGGTTTTAACAACATATGTTCAGTAAAAAAGGAGACCAACTTTATTAACAGTGTACAGTAACCCAAATAAATAATAACAAGGGAAACAATGGAGTGAGCACTTTACCTCCATTATAGCCAGAATCTGTCCAGGAGCATGATGGTCTGTAGTCACTTTGATATGAAGCCTGGGTGTAATTCAGCACAGCCATCTTATTCTGGTCTGTAAGATAAGGTTGCTGATGAAAATTGCTGATAAAAACACACACTACAAACTACTACTTTCAATTTACAAACTTTTCACAATCTGTTCTCTGAGTTGGCAGGCTGGTTATACACAGGAATGTGCTGCAGCTGCATTCCCTTACAAGGAACACAACATATGTAATACCGACATGCCAAGCACTAACCCAAAACATGTATTTTTCCTCCAGAGGAAGAGCAACCTCTGCAACATTTCCGACTACTTCAATTTGGCGTTTGTGGGCTGAGTATACACTCACTGGCCACTTCTTTATGTTCACCTACCTTTTATCTACATCACTTTCCATTTGATCATGTCTACTCAGCATGCACTTTGTGGATCTCCAATTAGAGACTGTAGTACATCTGACATGATAGAGACATGTTAGACTGTGTGGACTGCACTGTTACTGTAGTTTTTGAGAGCTTAGTGTCACTGCTGGACTAAGAACAGTCCACCAACCAAAAATACCCAGCCAACAGTATCCTATGGTCAGACATTGACC